TGGCACTACTCCGGTAAGTAAGAAAACTTGAAAAAATCTTTGTCAAAAATTCAGCTAATTGCGGTGCATAACGTTTGAAAAAAGGCATTGTAGACCGTCTGGACCAGAACACTTTTTCACTTTCAGTTTACGGAACATTGACAAGACACCTTCGACTGAAATTACAGGAGCCTCGAGAAAACTTGTAGGAGGGGCTGGTGCCCCGTTGTCATCTTTTGGAATAAATACACCTTGGAAGTATTGGTTAAAAATTTTCGCTATTACCTTACCCAAGGTCACAAAGGTTTCATCCACTTTAATTTTTGTTAACACTTCCCTATTCGATCCCAGATAACGCTAAAATTTCTGTGGGTCACTTTTAATGAACTCAGGAAGCGTGATATTAAAATAACGTGTGTTTGCTAAATTTACCTTAGCCACGAGTTGTTGTTTAAGTTCCTCGAAGTACTCTGATGCAGTGTTATGTTGCCTTCTACGCCGCTTTAATTTACTCTTAATCTGAATAATTTCTCGGCTTACCCAGGGGTTTTGGCGTTTATTACGTACTTTGCTCGAAGGGACAAAGTGTTCGATGGAAAACTTTGTAACTTCCTTAAAATGTTTCCAGAAGCCCGAAACGCTTTGATCGGAGTTAATATTTAACTTATCATCGAGGTAATCGATTATGTCGACATCGTTAGCTCGTTCATAATCTTTGACATTCACAACAGAACGATTCCGCGTACTTCCCACGTGTCTAGCAGTCCAACAAAAAGACAACAAACGATGATCTGAGATAGCAGGTTCAACACTAAGCACTCCAGTGAGAAACATTTGACTAACAAAAAAGAGATCCAAACGAGCATTTTTACGAGTGTGCTCACAAACAATTTGATGAAGGTTTAAAGCCAGCATAATGTCTAAGATTCTATCACTGCAATTGGACATTCCATAGGCCAGTTGGTTCCAATCGATAGCGGACAAATTAAAATCGCCTGTTACAATAACATTGTGCGCATGCTGGGCTAGAAGATGATCATATAAGTTATCAAGAAAGAAGTCGGCCGCAAAGTGCAAGTGCAAAGTACAACAGTGAAACCCCACAATGATATACTCAAAAACAAACTTTCATGGTCGTCAACCTGATCAAGTAAGGTTACATTGATATGGGACTTTGCGATAACTGCTACGCCTACACCGCGCGAACCACGATCATGCCTAAATAGTTGATAACCCGGTGAAATTATTTCATCGTCACGGATTCCGTCGTGGAGCCAAGTTTCTGTTAAAACAACTAAGTGGGGATCATACGAAAGAAGCAACAGTTCAAGACTATCAGTTTTATTTACAATGCTTCTGGCATTCAATGAAAGCACACGTAACTGATGCGATGGGGACTGTAACTGCATGCTATGCTAAGTGGTAGACGGTGTGCTACTCCCCGCCTGCACTGGGATATGTTCATTAAAAGCGTCGTCCCTGCTCGTCACTTCCACTGAGTTGTCATTATTATGAATGTCATTCCCACTCGCCGCCTGTACTGGAATGCGTGCGTTAGAAGCGTCGTCCCATACGTAGTACGCATCGTTAATGCGAAGTTTATCGTTTACCAGAGAAACCTTCATACCGTGATCTTTATTGGTTTTAGCGGCCCCCAAAGTTCTTTTCGTTTTCGGAGTGTTTCTGGAGAATGGTCTTTCTGAATAAAGATACGTGTTCCCTTCAGTTTCCCACTATTCCGCAGAACTCCTTGTTTTTCATGATAGTCTTGGAAATAAAGTATGACCGGCTGATCTTTAGCAGGCCTCACAGCCGATGAATTCTTGCCACAGAAGAACAACTTACACCCAGTTTTTCCAGGAACACTTCTTTGATCACAATATGACGCAGCACCGCCTCCGTTTTTTCATGAGAGTCTTTAATTCCAAAAACAACCGACATAATCGACATAATCGATTACTGCAACTTGACGAGGCCCTAGTTCCCATACACACCTTGGCGGAAAACCAGTGTAAAATAAAATTACACTAGACCCAAAAAATCAAATATACACCAGCACACCACTCCAATTATTATACTTAGAAAGATAACTAAAAGACATGTGCCACACAGATAGAAACAATTTCAGAACACATGCGTGACACTACACGGTATCATACAGAAAATGGGATTGTAGTAGTATGTCCGCTAACATTCGATTTGACTTTCCAAATATACACACATCATTTGCTTCAAGCTCATTTAGTAAAAATGGCAACACATACTTTAATTAAAACCATAATTAGTACGGGGTGTTGAAACATTCCATGTCCCGCCATGGTGGGTAACGTATATATGATCTAACTTAGTTAAACATGACAGTGCAGAAATGAAAAAAAAAGTATTGTCGTGTTCTAAGGCTACGTCATAACTTATAAGTCACCAACAACCGAAATCTGTGCAGCTGTCCAATACGAATTTCACGATGCTTGAAAAAGAGTTCCTTAGAAGGATTCAAAAATTAAACATTTGAAACAATTCGAATTGCCCTCTTTTGGGTTAGTAGTAGTCTTGTTAGGTTATGTTTTGTTGTTTGGCCCCAAACTAAATGACAATATACATAGTGAGTATAAGCCAAAGAGTAATATAAAAGCAATTTTACACTTGTTGGAGAGACATAACGGTTTCTACAAAGGAGACCAATAGACTTACTAGCGTTTGTATGGACATATTCAACGTGCTCATTCCATGATAATGATTCAGTGAAAAGTACACCCAGTGTTTTTACCGACTTTACCACCTCTAGTATTGATGAGCCTAAGATTATTTGAAACGAATAAGATATTTGTCTACTTCGAGGTCGAAATAGCACACATTTAGTCTTTTCAGAATTTATTTTTAGTCCATTTATTTTGGTCCACAAGTCAATGTTTGAAAGAAATCCTATTGCTTTCCTTTCTATATCATCTGCTGAGCCGCCTTTAATAAAAATAGTCGTATCATCGGCATAGGACAAAAGTTTGCATGCGGTACGCAATTTTCAATGTGATTTATGAAGATTATAAAAAAGAGTGGCCCGAGCACACTACCTTGAGGTACACCAGTTCTAATTTTTTGAATGGTTGAAATATAGTTATTATGATTAACAAGCTGCGTACGGTACTGTAGGTATGACTTAAATAGGTCTAGAGCCGTTCCACGTATACAGTAATTTTCTAGCTTCATGAAAAATATTTTTGATTAATTAAATCGAACGCTTTGAAGAAGTCAATATATACGCCCATGATGAGTTCTTTATTCTCAAAACATTCAATAATTTGTTGCTTTTGTACTAACAGTGCTGATTCAGTTGAGCGATGTTTTCGGAAGCCATGCAGACTATTAGAAATTATTGAAAACTTTTTCTACGTAAATATAAAGTATTTTATGAATGATTTTCTCGTGACCTTTAGAAAAAATGGATATGGAGAAATAGGTCTGTAGTTTTTAAACGTATTCTTGAACCCACCTTTAAACAAAGCGACAACCTTAGCCCACTGTATTACTTTAGGAAAAACACCGGAAGAAAATGATAGATTAAATATATACGTTAACACCGGTACCACTATGTCGAGAGTATGCTTAATCACGTTGATGTTAAGATCGTCTACATCTTGACTCCTGGAGTTTTTCAAGTTTCTAAAAACTGCAAACACACTTCATCCTTCATCAGTAGGGCTCATAAAAAAAGAGTTTTCGAAATTACCTTTTATATAGCTGCTAGCGTCAAGCCCATCTGGAGGTGTAGCTATATCACTTGATTGGCTAACAAAATAGTTGTTAAATCCATTCGCCAAAGCACAGCCGGACAAAGGATCGTCTCCGCAGTTTATATTATCTAATATTTGACGCTCGTGGAGAGGACGCAAGGCCTTATTTGCCCTTTCCCAGATAATGCGCGAATTTTTATTATCATCTTTTGTAAAAAGAGTTGTGTAGAATGCGGACTTCGCGCACCTTAACAAGCCAGTTAGTTGGTTACGATATTTTTTGAAGGCTCTTAGGGCTTCGGAGTCTCTTGTATTTAAAAAGCGCTGGCACATGCCGGTTTTCTTATGCACTTTGTTCAAAAACTCTTTCGTCATCCACGGCTTGCGCAATTTTTTACACAGTTTTACGGTTCTATAAAAGTATCATTTTACAGCTTTTTAAATGTTCGTAAAACGTATTCATATGCACAATTGGCATCTAATTTCAAGTAAACTGTTTCCCAATTTACAGCGAGTAAAGCATCTCTAAACACCTCCATTGTGACATCAGTAACATTTCGCACTTCGAAAGCTTTTTTTTGTAACGGGTCTTTTTCTGCTGCAAGAGGTTTGTTAATCAGCAGAAATATTGGTAGATGGTCGCTGACATCAACGCTAATAACATCAGATGAATACATCAGAATTAGTGACAAATAAATCAATTAAAGTTGACGTGGAGCCAGTGACTCTCGTTGCTTGCGTTTAAATATAGTCAAAGCATTTATATCAATCGCCTGCATGAAGGCCTGTCGCGCTGTTGTGTTTGCAAGCATGTTAATATTATATTCACCACCGAGAAAAAGGACATAGCGGTTCACTGTTGTAAAGTTGCAAAAGATATCAAAGAAATCAATAAACTTGGATACATTTCCGGATGGTGGGCGATACACAACGGCGAAAAGATATTCCTTGTAACGTACACACAACAGCTCATAATCTTCAGTAACTTGGGTAAATTCAGATATCAGTTCATACTCTAAAGCATTTTGTACAAGCAAAGATACCCCACCCCCTCCCATCTCTTCACGGCAAAGCGAGTAATGCCTGTATTGTGGCAGACTAAAAACATTCGAGTCATCTTTATACCAAGTTTCTGACAGCACAATGACATCAAAAGAAAAACCAAGACAGTCATAAAGTATACCGAGGTCATCAACTTTAGATTTCACAGACCGAGCGTTTAAGCGGAACATGGTGGCGCCCACGAACTGAGCTTCCTATTGGCCGAGACGCTAAGGGAACGTTTGGCCGCAGGGCGTCCAGTTCGCGTTGTCCTCGTGACTGGTTCCAGTGGCTTCCTGGGCCAGCATATCGTCAGGCTTCTGCAGGAAGACCAGCCCACGGTCAAGGAAATTCGACTCATGGATATCAGGCCGTTCGAGAACCATCTGGGTAAGAATCCTGCCGCGTCGTCAGGATAAAATGCTTCGAGCGTACAGCCCCAGACCTGCCGATCGGAACGGTACAAACTGCGAGGTTAGTCGGTAATCGTCCTAAATACATTTTTTAACAAAAAAAAAAAAAAAAAAAACTGTCGACAGACATATAATCGATAATTGGCGTCGTTTAAGTTTCTCCGCTAAATTTAGAAGAGAAAGTGATGTCACGTGATCTGATTACGTGACAACGTCGCGGGATGTCAGGTAACATGACGTCACTTTTTCGTTAAATTTAGAATGGAAAATTACAAATAATAAGTTGTGTTTTAATCCCCGAAACGACTCTTTTATGACTTCTAAACCAATTTAAACAATCGCTCTTTAAATACTGCATTCTCTTCGTTTAGGTGTTTGGAGACAGAGGTCGCTGCCATTTTACTGTATACTCACTTCTGAAGATTCACACAACCCGGAGGGGGAGGACGGTTTAGGCCGTGGAGTTCAGCCGAACGAGGTTTAAATCTGGGGAGCACCTACAAAGGGTTGTGAGTTTCGAACAGATTGGACTGATGTCTTGTCCAGCTGAACGTTTCAAGATTGAAGTGAATCACGCTGGCTTCTGGAAGCCAGCGTGATTCTCTTTTTTTCAAATTTTTCAATTCTTTGAAGTTCACGGTCGTAGTGTCATGGGCATTTCATAAATGTTCGTTGCTCATTGAAAGAACTGTGTGCGTCTGTGTTCGTCCTTCGTGTGTTTTATTCTTTCTGTGTATTCTGGCTTCTGGAAAGGGTCCAAAAAAGAAAGTGCAACCTCTGATAAGGTTCACGAAAGCCATGTGTTACATGACCTGCGCCATAACATGCCTGGCACTTGATACGTACATATCAAGCGCTATTTATGTTTATGTTATACATCGCTAGCACGTTACGTCATCGCGCCGTGCTTTTGGACATTCTAACCTCTACTTTCGAAAAAAAAAAAACAAATGCCGCAGAAGGTACATGCTCAGCAGCAAGGTCATAACAATGGCCACTGATCTGGCGTAATTATTTTCATCCGCGGTGGCCAGACTAGAGGCCTCGCTCCAGAGGCTGGCCTCACCTTGGACAGACAACGCTCTGTTTGGGCACTAGTCTGGCAACTGTGGGCACGTTTCAGCAAGACATGTCACAATTTTGCAGACGAGGATCGAAGAATGAAGGTTAAGGGGATTTCAATAACAAAGAGGAGATTGGAATCCTGTTGGAAAGTCTCTAGGAAGAATTTAGTGACGTACAATTAACTGACAAAGCTGGGGACAGGCGGGAGAGAAGAAAATTGGGACTCCCTCCCGCGTGGCTCCGGCCCAAAATCTCCACCCTGTCTCCCAGTGGGCCCGGCGCCGTAGGAATGCCGACTATACTCCGAGTCACTATTTGCGTGCAGTGCAGTCGAAGGCAACGCCAGGCGAAGAGAGAAAGGGCGAGCACTATAAAAGTGGGACGGGAGAGGAGAACATTTCACGGCGAGGGAAGGAAGGGCGAGCACCGGGAACGTTAGAAAGGAGAGGAGGTGTCTCTCCTCCTCGTCAGCCTTCCTAGTGCTCGCACTTTCTCGCCTCGCCTAGCCTTGCTTTCTCCTGTACTGCGCGCATTTAGTGAGATGGAGTATAGGTTCGACCAGGGGAAAATTGGCGACTCCCTTGCTGAGGGGAAGAGGCGGGGGTGATCTTCTAGTTTTTTGCCCGAACCTCCAAAGGTCGTCTTGGTGAGTTACACAATTTCAGAGGGAAGCAAATAGACCGATCTCACCAGCCAGTTTGACTACACCATCGCTGCCGCAGTGCATCGAGGGAAACTTTAGTCTTACAGCACCTGCAGCAACCTCTCTAGAGCACTGCCTGCGTAGAGCACGAGACGTCACGAGCCCTCTCGTGCACCGCCGTCTGCCTCCTGTGAACTAAAGTTATGGCGGCGTCACGCATGTGCTGAACTTTTATTGAGATCGGTCGGTCTGTTGGCGAAAAAAAATCATACTTTTTTCCAGTTTTTTGGCTGAGCGGTGCAAGCTATCGCCCGATATAAAGGGTACAGCCGTTAGCTTCCAGAGTTGCCAAAGTTACTTTTAAAAATAATTAAATTACATTACTAACCGCTTTTCTGAAAACAGCGAAAATGTAATTAAATTAGATTACAAATTACCGCAGACCAAATATAATGACGTTACATTACAATTAATTCCCAAAAGTAACGATATTACTTTGATATTACTTTTCAATACGTTCAGGCAGTAATTCGTGCCAATTTTATTTACACTATATACACCAGAACTCTGACCGTTCTGTTTACACCGTAGCATGCCTCGTGTGCCTCAAACTGAACTTTACTGAACTGTCTTTCCGCTAGCGCACGCGATGGAAGTTTTAAATATGATGAATAGCTGCTTCTTTAGATGCGACTCAAAGACAGGCGACTGATTGGTTTCGCTGTTCATTGAACGGTGAAGGTTATCACTTAAAGGAGGTAGATAATATGATTCCGTCTTTCCCATTTTGATGAAATTATAGTACGTCTCAGTAGCTTAACCGGGCCATGGAAGCTCGTTCTTATGAGAAATCGACACGTGAAAGGTTTCCGTTCCGACTCGAACGTAGTCTAATAGTTTTCTCACAAAATAACTTCTTGCATTTTTCCCGCAGTCTTCTCGAAAAGTATTGTTCCAAAACACCCGAAAAGGCCCAGTTATGGCGCGTTGTCACACAAGGGGGCTGGATGTTTGCTGGGTCACGGCCGCTCAATCTCGAAGGGCCGTGACTGGGCATATGGGTGCCCAGTTGAGGAAAGGAATGGCGCGAACTCCCTGAATTTGTACTTCCTCAACAAACGGGTGGCGAATCTGCTCGTTTGCTTATTTCCGACTAAACTCCCCAACAAAAGACAGAGAAGCGTACCGCGAGCGGCACCCGCTTTACTCGCTTCCCGTATTTGCCAATTAAAAGCATCTTTGCTTGCTGAGGCTACGCACGGAACGTTTTGCGGCCTTGACAAGACATTAGGGATTAACTATTTATTCCTGTGCCGATCGACGTCCAGGAAGATACGTTTAAACTGATATACTGTCACCAAAAGCCACGTAAATACCTGTTCACACTGGGGAGCGGAACCAAACTGGCACCCCGCTTTTGCTAACCGCTTTTGAAACGATCTTTTACACCCGATTTTATGAACCGCTGGGCCACTAGACAATCGCAGCTCGATGCACACGCGATGCTCGACGGAGAAAGATTAGACCATCATAGCTCCTAAAAAGTGCTCTAGCTCGAGATATGTTGGCGTACCGTCATGTCCAAAGCCCAAATGTAGGCCGCGCTGCGTCGCGAAAGCCCGACAGCGCGAGTACTCGGGTCTCTCTTTTTAAGGTAGCTTGCCGCGAAAGCCGTTCACATTTACTACAACCACTAGGTGGCACGAGCTACCATCCCATTATATAATACGGAGCTATCGCGCATCTAGCCCTCGTAAAACTTCGGCTAAGCGCTTGTACGAACACCTAGTAAAGAAGCACGGTTAAGTTTTTGCTGCGGTTAAAGTTAACCGTCTTCGGGAAAACGGGCCGTGGAGTCGCAGCCAGGCCACCAGAAAGGTATAGTACAGAGCAGGCCGAATTTTTACTCCAAGGTAAGACTAGGCAGGCCTTTACCGCTGCTGGAGGTCCGTGTTCCAACGAGGATTTTCCCAAAGATTAATGGGTGAAATGCATGCGCTAGTTGACTTTATTTGCATGCAATTCTGAGATGCACTACTTCGTCAACAGATGGATTGAAACCGAAACTATGCCACTCCTCTCCATGGCTAACCATGGCCCATAATGCCACGCGCGCCGCGTTGCGTGTAGGGATTTGGTTCCATGACCACCTCATAATTATTTCTCGAGTTGTTTCAGTTTTGATAGTGTGATCATAGGAACGGACCGCTACAACGCGGCTGCCCATAAGCCCCTGGATTAATGTTTTTAGATTAAAAGGCTTTAGAGTCAAACTCGTGCCAAGAGACTGAATAGACCACTCCGAAACAAAAGCTTAAGCAGCCGTTGTATCTTTTTCGTGTGTCTTCTCGTGCTGACGTCTTGAGCAGCAGTTATAAAACATAATGTAAGGCAAAAAAAAAAAAAAAAAAAAAAACGGACACAAGGAAGACAGGCGCCTGTGTGTGTTTTCTTCCTTGTGTCCGGTGTTTTTTTTTTTTTTTTGCACCTTACACTATGCTTTATAAGGTTTCCCAACTATCCCAACTACAAGTTCTTCTATTGAACCGGGGCATGTCACATATACTCCGCTTGGTAGTATCCTTCATCTTCTTCCTTCATCAGCCTCAAAAGGCCGCCACTAGTTTGCCAAAGATGCCATACATTGACGATGATGATAATGATCAAAGTTGCCAGATTAAATTTCGAAAAGGGTCTAATATTGTTCAGCTAACTTGTTAACAAGAGAGAGTATCATTCTGTACCCGACGGCGCTATGACAGCAGCCATCGAGTCAAAAATTCCGCTTTCATCATCGACTCAGGGCACCGAACCGACAAGCCGATGAGGGAGACCGTGGGCAGCGTCTGCGACGTCGAGACAGTGATGAAGGCCTTCACCGGAGTGGACTGCGTCATCCACTGCGCGTCCCTCATTGACGTCCGCTTTTTCAAGGACGTCAAAGCTATGGAAGCGGTCAACGTGCAAGGTAAACAGTGCTTTTTTTTGTTTTTTTCTAGATCCAATAGACCGATCTCACCAGCCAGTTTCGCTACGCCGCCGCTGCTGCCATGCATAAAGTCCCTTCGTGTTTCAAAAGTAGCGCAAGGTGCGTCGATGCACAAGGCACGTGCAACGTGCAGCCCTTGGGAAGATCATGGCGGCACAGCACAGCAGTACTGTAACTGAGCTAGATTTCACACGCCATGTTCTTCCCAGAAGAGGCGCGTGGCGCGAGTCTCGAGCGTTTCCACAGCAATGAATGACGCCACTTTTCCCAGGGTAGAGGAGCTTTAGGCATGCATCGTGGGAACTGTAGTCTTTCTGCACGCGCGACATCCCCGCTGCGGGTCGCCACGAGCAGAGCACGAGACGACACGAGCTGACCCGTTTCACTGTAGCCTACCTCCTGTGAACCAGAATTATGGCGTCGTCGCGCATGCGTGGAACGCTCGGTGAGATCGGTCTATTCTTCTTATTCTCCTTAGTTTTTACGCGCCGTCAATTCTAACTTCAAGAGCAGAGAGCGAGGCAAATTAAGTCTATTTCACACACTTGTGCTTGCTTAGGACAGCGAGCTCTTGTGATATCTCAAAAGACCCTTTCAGGTATTCAGTCTGGCCACTTTGATCACTATCATCATCTGAAAATGGCATATGTACTATACTAATGGCTGCCTTCTGTTTACTGATGAAGGGAAAAGTTGAAGATGTTACTAAGCAGATGATTCGAGGCCTATACATTCTAGACGTTAGCGCGACGTGAAGCAGGAATTGGATGCGAGAGCTGCGTAAGCGTTCATTTCTAACTCGGGCACAGGAAATCCGTTAGTAGCGCAGAATCGACTTCCATAGCCCCTTGCTGTATCAAACTTTGTCAAGGCGTCTATGTGGGTTCGTGCTTCGTTCTGACCGGTTGCATTTTTTTTTCACTATCGAAACTGAAAGAGATTGAGAAATAACTGAACAGTGAAGCGCACATTCTCGTTTACCGTTGACTTGCGAAACTGACAGTGCACCATAAAATAGTGCACACCATAGGTTCATTGCCGCCATTAGTACGGTAAAAGTTAAACTGCCATTTGAGTCACCATATGGCACTGAATTCCGGAAAGGGTCTATTACGAAAAGAGAGGGCTGGAGCGCCTAGATTGCAGAGAGGGTCACCTCAAACCATGGGGAGCATTTGGAATTATAATGGGTGACGCCTTTCGCACCGACTGGTCGCAAGTTCGAATGCAACGCGAATTTGCGACGCTATTTATCACCTTCGCACTGAAACCTAACTTTCCACGAACTGATTATACTGCTACACTGGACGAAAAAAACACGCACATACACTCAAGCAAGAACCAAACGACATATAACTGGAGGAAGACTTTGGTATTGCCACCAAGGTACAAGGATGCCTGGTTTATACAGTTGCCTATTGACTTAATTCTAACTGTTTCTCTTACAACTATTTTGACATCATTGTCCTCTTCGCGTACTACTTCTGTCTCCAACCACTGTGCCGTGCGATTGTTGCGTTTCTGTATATGTGTTGCTATTTCAAAATTGGATGCTTTGATCTTTACCTTTCTTTTATGCTCAGTTAGTCTATATTTCAAACACCTGGAAGTTTTCCCCACATACTTAAACCAACACGCTAACGGTATCTCATACGCGACTCCTTCCTCACAAGGTAGCGATTTCTTCCTAACGGCTGTCCAGCACCCCTTCCTTTCTTATTGAAATGGGGCAAGGTTGCTCAACTTGAAATCTGTATTGAAAACCACATTTACTCCAAAGTTCGTCGCACAAGCTTTACAGTGTGAGAAATTGCGTAAAAATATGGCATGACTGAGACTTTGTTTCGATCTCTTTTCTCTCTCTTCCCTTGCCCTGCTCATTATAGTCACCTGCCTCCTAATGAAATCTTCTTCGTATATCGTGGTAATCAGCCTCTCACACTGCCCTTCGACCGCCTTCGCTATGAAATGTACACAAGACCTGTTTAAATCATTAGTAATCAATGACTTAACAGCACCCGCTTTTACAGGATTGGAGTGGCAGCTCTTTTTTAGAAGGATCGGTTTTGTATTAGTTTTTTCGCATTCCCAGCATAATGATTCGCCATATGAATTTGTAGATCCAAGAACTACAGCACGTTATTCTCTGGCAGCTCCACCGTGAACTTCAACTCAGGAGCTGATGACCCTATTAACATCCCCCACTTCCCACCATTCCAGTCTGAAAAACATGCACAACGATATCGTCGACATTTTTTTTTTGACAACACAACTCTTCGAGGGGATTTGTTTCATACCATCAATCACGATCAATCGCGGCAGAATAAAGAAAGCTTAGATAAATCTCCGCCAACCCTGGTGCCACAGAAGGGCCTTATTTTTTCACCTATTTACTTCGTAACACTCCACCACAGTTAAAGGAAGATAAAATTCCAAAACCACCAGAAAACTGGGTACGGAGAGTCTTGAACATGATTTTAACTGCACTAAATTAAGCTCTAGCACTTCTTTCACTCCCTTCATTAGTCCCTTCTTTTCCAAGGAATAGTGCAAATCTTTTATATTCATAGAGAAAAACCGAACACTTCTTGCCATGTTGAGAGCTATTGTGTAGCTAGTGTAACTGAAAGTTGAGAGCGCTAGTGTAGCTGGGGTATAAGAGGAAACAAAATGAAGGTCGGTTATTGCGGCGCGTGTGGGCAGCTGCAGAAAAGCGTGACTAACTTGCTATACTCGGGGGCTACTCATCACTCCCTTAAACATCTTGTAAACCGTTGGGAACAAGCTGTCCTTCCCACATTACATTTATCGTCATGACATTACCAGTTTGGCCAGTAAAGACTTTCAGTTAAAAAAAAAACAACATTTGGAGCCCTTTTACTCTCTGAAGGTGGTGGGTCAGCGAAGCTCTAGAGCACCACCACAAATGATTCACCAAGAGACAAAGAAATGCACTTCACGAAATATTTATTTACAGTATATACGCATTATTGTGAAACGGGAGTGATGATAGCTTCGTGATTACTGTGATATTCATCAATGGGTTCTATTACAACCATGGGGAGCTTCTTTGCTAAAGTTAAATCTTTACATGACCGATGGCGCTCGTCATAGGCACGTTGCTCTTCGGGAGTCCTAACTATACGTGGCCTTCCCATAGCAACCGCGGAACACTATGGAACGCCCTGCTCGGCAGCTGCTGCTTTTATATGTGTAAAGCAGTGACGTCACCTGACTCGAACGGGAGAGGGCCCATTGTTCGCAGACGTATGTCCATTATCACACATTTCGACGTGTTCCCTTATCAAAATGCATAGTGAGGGGACGAGGTGTATCCGGTATTTTCCTACAATGAAGCGATTTTACATGCAATCTCTGACTTTTGTTTTCACAGACGGGTACCAAAAATGCAAGGAAGCCTAGCCGTTAACAGCTTCGCCGTAAAACAACAACAACAACAACAACAACAAACAAGAAAAAACGGTCACACCAAATGATATTACAAAAACAATATTCTGATTTGAAATACTTCGAAGAGAACTTTTCGGTAGGTACCTACCTAGTCAGGTACTAATTAAAAAAAAAAAAAGCAAAAAAAAAAGCAAAAAAAAACAAGTAATTATTTGAAAGTTTAAAAGCCCAGTGTTTCAAGGCCTGCTCTGCCCACTGATAGAGTGTACTAGAAGGAACGAGTGGGACGAGCTACAGACTCCGCTCATGCTTTCAGTTGCACCTCAAAATGTGTAAAGCGATCAGGTGGAACCAACGTTACTAAAACACTCAGTTGTGAAACTCGCCGTCGAAACTTGGGCCGCTGGCGTCCACCGAAACCGAGCTAAATACGACAACAGCGCCACTCTTTATCATTTGTCTGTACTGTGGTCACCTTGAGCTTTTAGAAAGCATGTTTTTGCATAAAAACAAACGAAAAAGTCAACCATTTCGTCGTTTACCCTGAGACTGGGTTTTTTTTTTTTTTGAAGAGCAGAAGTAACAGAAAAAACAGACAGGTCTCAAAAAACAAACTTAAAAAAAACCCAGTCTCAGGGTAAACGACGAAATGGTTGACTTCCACCAGCTAGCCTGTACTTTGACTCTTTTCTCGTTAAACGGAAAAGACTCTTTTTGTATGAAATTTATTGGAGTTTAGTACAAAATGAAGGGCGCGTGATGTTTTTAAAATTTTTGGTTTGCAAGGTTTTGCGGCACAATTAATATTGTTTTTATACAACCATGCCTCAGCGGTGCTTTCAGGTAGCGCGTCGCGACCTAGGTGCATTTTAAGTTCGTTAGTAAGACACGGCGCGTCCACTGGGGAGACGGGGGTGGCACCCCTGTAACCTCTTCCGCTGTACCTGTTTCGGCGCCAGAATGGCCGATTGAAGCCAAAATAGACGTCACGTGCAGTTCTTCGAGTGGCCGCTGCGGGAGAAATGGCGGCGTTGTGTTCGCCATTAGCTCCGTGCTCGAGGACAGATCGGGGGCACTTTTTCAGGGCAGTCTCTATGGCAGTTTCCCAACTGTGTGGTAGTGTAACGTTGGGTGGAACCAAGCCACTTTGATCGCAGCGCCACCTTCGCCACGATCAAGCAACGACACAGGTCAAGGTCATATGGGCAATATAGCCCCTTAGGGGCTGTATTGTATTTTTTATGATTTTGACGTCAGAGGTAACGTCAAAGCACCACGACACGATGACGCCACGACGTCATCGTCGACGACGTTACGCGATGCTAAGATGCTGTCGTAAGGCCGTCGTGACCTCACGTCGCGTCGAGCACGACGCCCTTTGGGGACATCAAGTCGCCGTTGTAACGCTGTTGTGACATCGCGTCGCGTTGAGGACGACGCCGTTACGCGACATTAAGTCGCCGTTGTAATGCGGTCATGGCGTCGCGCGTCACATTAACGGCGACGTCGACGTGGTCGGCGATGCCGACGTTGACGTCGGCGTCCCACGCAACGTCAAACATCGCTAT